CACCTGTCAGAATGGCCGCCATCAACAAATCATCAAACAACAAGTGTTGGCGAGGGTGTGGAGAAAAGGAGACTCTAATACACTGCTGGTGGGAATGCAGACTGGTGCAGCCGCTATGGAAAATAATATGGTGTTACCTCAAAAAATTAAAAAATTGAACTTCCATTTGACCCAGTGATCTCATTTCTAGGAATATACCCTAAGAAGCCTGAAACACCAATCAGGAAGAATATATGTACCCCCATGTTCATAGCAGCACTATTTACAATAGCTAAGATCTGGAAACAGCCCAAGTGTCCACCAGTAGATGAATGGATAAAAAAGCTGCGGTACAAATATACAATGGAGTACTATACAGCGGTAAGAAAGAAAGATCTCTTATCCTTTGAGACGACATGGAGGGACCTGGAAAGTGTTATCCTAAGTGAAAGAAGCCAAGCAGAAAAAGACAAATACCACATGATCTCACTTATATACGGAATATAATGAACATAACAGTCTGAGGAATACAGTAGACCCAGACACATGGAAGTAGGGCACAGACTGACATCCCTCAGAAGAGGGGATGGGGGGTGGGGGGGTGGGAAGAGATAAACCACAGAACTTATATGCATGTATGCATGACCAATGGACATGGACAACTAAGCCGGGGACGGGGCGGAGGTGGGGTGGGGTGGGGGGTGCCAATGGGGTAAAAAGGTAAAATATCTGTAACAAAAAAATAAATAAAAATTCATAAAAAACAACAACAATGCAATTTAAAAAAGAAAAGAAAAGAAATGCTCAACATCACTAATCATTAGAGAGATGCAAATTAAAACAACTATGAAGTATCACCTCACACCTGTCAGAATGGCCGCCATCAACAAATCATCAAACAACAAGTGTTGGCAAGGGTGTGGAGAAAAGGGGACTCTAGTACACTGCTGGTGGGAATGCAGACTGGTGCAGCCACTGTGGAAAATATTATGGTGTTACCTCAAAAAATTAAAAATTGAACTGCCATTTGACCCACTGATCCCACTTCTAGGAATATACCCAAGGAAGCCTGAAACACCAATCAGAAAGAAAATATGTACCCCTATGTTCATAGAAGCACTATTTATAATAGCTAAGATCTGGAAACAGTCCAAGTATCCATCAGTAGATTAAAAAGTTGTGTTACATGTATACAATGGAATACTATGCAGCTGTAAGAAAGAAAGATCTCTTATCCTTTGGGATGGCATGGAAGAACCTGGAGAGTATTATGCTAAGCAAAACAAGCCAAGCAAAGAAAGACAAATATCACATGATCTCATTTATTTGTGGAATATAATGAACTAAACAAACTGCTGAACAAAATTAACCCAGAGACATAGAGGTGGGGTACAGACTGACAAGCCTCAGAGGAGGGGGGTTGGGGAAAGATGAGATAAACCACAGAACTTACATGCATGTACACATGACCAATGAACATAGACAACAAAGCTGGGGATGGGGGAGGGGAAGGAGGGTGTCAATGGGGGAAAAATGAGAAATATCTGTAACAAAACATTTTCATAAATAAAAAATATTATATATATATATATATATATATATATATATATATATATAATTCTTTGGTGCTCATCTGGAAAATACTAAGTACACTGTGTGTACCCCCTATATCCAGTGGTGATGCCTAGGTGATGCCATCATCATTATTATTATTATTATTATTATTTTGTTAATTCTCACCCAAGGATATTTTTTCCTTTGATTTTTAGAGAGATTTTTATATATATATATAAAGAATGGGAGATGAGTGAGAAGCCACAAGGAAACCCAGGCTATAGAACAGGTCAGATAGGCAGTCACTTTCCCTCCCACTCCCTAGAAACATCAAAGGCTCTGTTCAGTTTCCAGCACCAGGTCATTCTGAAAGAGAAGCAACCCTGTCCTGTTAATACTGGAGAAAGCCCCCAGGCCGACCAGCAGAAGCCAGCTCCCTTCCTTCCTAGTTGGAGATGTAAAAACCATGAAATGAAGCACAGGCAAACCTGTCTGAGGGGATCTTTAGCAGTAGAGGAGGTTGGTCAAGACAGGGGCACGTGGGAAACAGTATACGTACTGCTGAAAAGAGCAAACAGGGCCACATCTGAGACAGGTCATCATAGCCTTCCATGCCCTCCACCCCTAAGCAGCTGCTGGGTTTCCTGCATTTATGAAATGTCCTGGCTACTGGGAAGAAACATCCCTTGGTTTATCTGGTTTAATCCAGATCCTTCAGAACTCACCCCACAGGTGGAGAGCCTTGGAGAGTGTGACATTTGGGAGACACCCAAACCCTGATCCCAGGGTTGAGTTGGACCAAGGCTCCCTCCCCCATTCTCTCTATTCTATTTGTTTTCAAAATCCATATGAATTTATCTGAAGAAATCTCAGGGAAGCTGTAGAATCTCTTCAGGATACAGAGTTGGGTGCAGGTACCCTGGGTTCTTTGGTGCTCATCTGGAAAATACTAAGTACACTGTGTGTACCCCCTATATCCAGTGGTGATGCCTAGGTGATGCCTTTATTATTATAATTATTATTATTATTATTATTATTATGTTAATTCTTACCCAAGGATATTTTTTCCTTTGATTTTTAGAGAGAGTGAAAAGGAGGGAAGAAAAGGGAGAGAGAGAGAAAGAAAGAGAGAGAAGCATCAATGTGCAAGAGACACATTGATAGGTGGCCTCCTGCACGTTCTCCAGTTGGGGCCAGGGATCGAACCTGCAACCCAGGTACGTGCCCTTGACTGGAATTGAACCTGAGACCCTTCAGTGCACGGGCTGATGCTTTCACCACTGGACAATATCAGCCAGGGCTGATGCCTTTCTTCTTATGGGCTAGATACTTCAGACTTTCCCCTGGCCATGTATTATGAGCCGAATCGCTTCTCCCTCTCTGCCCCAATTCATGAGTTAAATTCCTAACTCCCAGTACTTCAGAAAGTAACTGTTTTTGGAGATAAGACTTTTAAAGAGTAAGTAAGGGGAAAATGAGGTCATATAAGTGGACCCCAATCCAGTAAGACTGGTGTTCTTGTAAGGAGAAGAGGCCACAGACACACACAGAGGGAAGACCGTGCGAGGGCACAGGGAGAAGCGGCCACCCACCAGCCAAGGAGAGAGGCCTCAGAAGAAACCAGCCCTGCCAACACCTTCATCTCAGACTTCCAGGCTTCAGATCTGCGAGGAAATAAATTTCTGTTGTTTAAACTGTGAAATGTTGACATAAATTGAAGCCCTTTAAAAATAGGATGAGTGAAGTCTTGCATGTCGTACTCCCTCAACCTTTGGAATGTTTGAACTGGGAAAAGTAAGCTCTGGCCCGGCCAACACAGGCATCCTGACTGCTGAACTGCAAACTGAAACATCCCTTAGAATTAGCACCACCACGTACAGCTAAAGAATAACTTAGCTCATTTGCACCTTCAGAAATTCTTTTCTTTATTCATGTAATTATTCTCCTTCCCTTTTCTCATAAAACCCCTGCCTTTCCCCCCTAATCAAAAAACTGTGCTAGAAATGGTTCAGAACAGGCCTCCTCTGGCATGTAAATTATTTGGAGCTAAAGGCAATCAAGACCCTGCAGTCTCATGAGAAACTGTTACCTTTCCCTTAAAGAACTTAAAGTTGGGTCCTTGCCCATAATAAAAGTCATCACCAGAAATAAATACCCATGACCTAACTATAGGGCAGGGCAAACATCTAATTACTGAACATATGTTCTTCCTGTTCTGTGAATGACCTTCCTTCTGAAGCCCCAAGCTGCCTTACGTCATCCTTAGCTCAGAATGCCAAATATATAATTTTCCCTTTGTCTCTGAAACTTTCATGTATGTGGAGTCTCTGACTCATCCATGTTTGCAGTGTCCCCATACATATGTATATAATCAAATTTGGTTATTTTCTCTTTTTAATCAATCTCATGTCTATTTAAATATTAGACCAGCTGGAAGAACCCAGAAGGGTGGAGGAAATTTTCTTTATCTGCCACAGGTTTCTGCCTGAATCAGTGTTTTCCAAACAGCCATTCTTTTTCTCAATCTCAAATAAACACTTCTCAATTTGGTCTTTTTTTTTTTTTTTTTTTTTTTTCAGGTTAACAAAACCAACTAGTCAGTGTATTTGGTTATGGCAGCCCAAGCGAACTCATGCAGCATGTCTAGGGACACCTTATGGAGTGGGCAAAAGGGCTACTTTTTGGCATACACACCCTTCTCGAGGAACCATAGGGCAGGTGTGTGGCCTGGGAGGGTTGTCTCAATGGAGCTCCAAGTGGAAGGATACAAGTTGCTCAGGGAGAGAGAGAGAGAGAGAGAGAGAGAGAGAGAGAGAAGAAACATTGATGTGAGAGAGACACATCAACCAGTCGCCTCCTGCATGTGCCCTAGGGATGGAAACTGTGATGCTCTAACCACTGAGCACACTGGCCAGGGCCCTCCCTGACCCCTGGAATTTGCAAGATGACATGGAAAAGGTCCTATGTCAAATTCAGAGACATATATCTTGTTCCTAGTTGCCTCATGTATAGTTCCGTGAGAGGGGAATGAATGAATGGCTGCCCTATGGTTGAAGTGCTTACATTTTGGATCTCTTTAAAAAATGAAAACAAAAAAATTTCGCCTGTAAAACCACGTAAAGCAATACAGGCTTTTTACAACAGAGCGCAGGAATCTCCAGTCCTTTCCAGAGCTGCCACAGGCACACGTGGTCTTTGGCTAAGCCTATGGGGTCCAATGGTTCACATAAGAATAGAAGTTTTGGACCAACCCGAGGAGAGGCCTGAGCCTGTGGGACGCCATCCTGAGCGGCGTCCTGAGTTTGAGTGATCTAGCTGCCGTGTCGTCACTGCAGCTGGCCGCTGTCCAAGCACTGAGCGGAGTAATGACTAACCGAGCTTCCTCTGGGAGGGAGGAAACAGTTAAAATCTTGCAGCAGCTGCAACCAACTAGGCGTGGTTCTCTTGTCTGACTTGGGCTGCACAGATCCTGGGCCAAGGAGCGGAGGAAGGGAAGCTCCGGCAGTAGAAAGCCTTCCCGATGGCTGAGTTGGACCTGATGGCTCCAGGGCCCCTGCCCAGGATCACCGCTCACTCTCTGGTCCCTCTCAGCCCAGACTCTGGGTCAGCCAGCCCAGCAGAAGAAGAGGACAGGGGCTCTCCGGAGAGCCCCCCAGGGGAGGCTGAGGCGCCGGGTTCTGGCTCTGGTGGTGAGGGAGAGGAGGAGATCCTGTGTGATTTCTGCCTCGGGGCCCGCAGGGTGCAGGCGGTGAAGTCCTGCCTGACCTGTATGGTGAATTACTGCGAGGAGCACCTGCGGCCACACCAGGAGAACAGCAAACTGCACAGCCACCAGCTGACTGAGCCGGTGAAGGACCGGGACCTGCGCACCTGCCCTGCTCACCGCAGCCCGCTGGTGGCCTTCTGCCGCGCGGATCGCCAGTGCATCTGCCAGGAGTGTGGCCAGGGGGAGCACAAGGGCCACACCTCCGTGTCTCTGGATGTGGCCCACAGGGACAAGGAGGTGAGTGCTGGGGTCCATCTGGGAGAGGGCGGCGGGAGCTGTTGTGCCCAGCAAGAGGCTGAGCTACTGCCGCAGCTCCCAGGGGTGCTGACTTCACGTCTTTGCTCTGAGTTCGCCAAAAAAAGACTTTACCCAAGTACCCGGCTGTTCATCCACAGTAAATATCGATTTCACTTGGCTTGGAAAAGTGAAGTAGGTCACTCTGTCCCCACTGCAGCCCTGCTGTCCCTGTACTACTCTCTGTGTCTGTCCCTCCTCACCCTGGCTAGTTTCCTGCCATTTCTCATGCACCTTCCGGTGATTGTTACGTTTGGATGTGGGGTGCAGAGGCTGTGGGGCTTAGGGCAGTGACGTTCCCCTCTGCCTGGAGCTCTGTGGCAACTGAGGAAGTGGAGACCTTGGCAGGAGTTCAAGAGAAAAGAATCAAACCTTTCCCCTAATTTTTCTTCCCTCCACCCAAACAAGAGACCAGTGGAAAGTGCCCCCCTGGAGGTACCAGGGTGAAATTCAAGATCTTGAAAAGTGCTAAAATAACACAGAGTTGGAAACTTACCTCCAGGTACAATGTCAAGGACAGCTTAACTCAGGGAAAATAAAAGTGCCTTATCAGAGAGAGGAATCAGGAGGGACTGAGAACACATCACCTGGGTAGCCTGTAATTTTATTCCCATCAGATAGGAAAACCTTTTCTAGAGAAACTAGCCCTACAGCCCAGAGCCTGGAGTTCTTGGGAATGGATTTAGCAACTTTCCATGCTCTGTGTCTCATCCTTTAGCTTTTCATGAGCACTTTTTTGTTCTTGGTGAGGAAGCGCGGGCGGGCGGCTCCGCCCTGCCCTGCTCAGGCTCACACTGCAGTTGGGTCACTGCACTGCGGAGGGGCCCAGTCTTCTAGGGCAGCAAAGGAAGGGGTTCTGGGAAGGGTGGTGGACTTGTCAGGCCCCCCCACCATGCCCTTTTTTAGGCATAGATTGTATCCAGTGTCAGTGGGACTTGTTTTGGAAAACTCTGCAGGCCAGGGGCCAAGGAGTCTCCGTTTCCGACTCTGAAAGCCACTCGCCAACTGTTTCTAGCGTTTCCAGGGACAGGGAATGTCACTCATGTCCCTCCTTGCATAACCATGAACAGGCTCGGCATTGACAGATACATAGATCAGAGGGGAAACTTCATACAATTGAAGAAATTAGTCTTCACTGAACATCGCTATGTGCTAAATGCTTTCTGTGGGTTTTCTCATGCAACCCTCAGGTAACTCCGTGAGGTGGTGGTCTTTTATCTCCACATTTTCCAAACAAACACAGATGATTAAGTCATGGAGAGAGGAATGAAAGCTTCTGGGAAGCCACCCTAATGGAAGCACACGAAGAAAGCATCCCAAGATCACAATATTATAACCTGACTTTTTTTGCACTAAAAACCTAGCAAACATATAGCAGAAATATTCAAAGTGTACTACTTTTTCCTTTGAGTATAATATCCGAATTTCATTATACTTGACTGGAAAAGTGATGCATGTACATGTTGAAAAACAATCTTCATCAACTATCGCAATAGATTATACCAGGAAAAGTCCCCCTTCCACCCTGGATCCCCATCTTCCTCCTTGGAGGCAAGTGCCACCATCCACATTTTCTTCTGTTTTTTGTTTGTTTGTTTGTTTGTTTGTTTTTTTAAGAAATATTCTGTGTGCCCTGGCTGGTTTGGCTCAGCGGTTAGAGTGTCAGCCTATAGACCAAAGAGTTGCAGGTTCAATTCGGTTGTGGTTTGGTCCCTGGCCCTGGTTGGGGTCATGCGGGAGGCGACCAATCTGTGTACCTCTCTCACATCAACGTTTCTCTCTCCCTCCTATTCTATCTAAAGATAAGTGGGAAAATATCCTCTGGTGAAGATTTTTTTTAAAAAGGAAACACTTTTGTGCCTGTAACAGCATAGCCACAATGTGAAGTTTAAACATGGTGTAAACTGATGCTTACGGAGACTTTGGGTAATTGTAATTCTGAGCAGGGAGAGTTGTATAGAGCATGTGTGGAACCCCAAATTCAGATGTCCTGGAGAGAACTGGTAAGATAAAATAAAGACAACTGGGTAAGGGCTCTAGGGAAGTTTTTAGTGCTTAAAAGTAATCATGGTTATAAATACAGTGTGATAACCCCAGACCCCAGATTTTTGGTGGTGGCTCCAATTCACAGCCTCTGCTCTTTGGTCTGCCTAAGAGAGTTCTTGTCCTTTCCACCCTGTGTCCTTGTTTTCAGTTCAGACAGTGAATTTACTTTGTAGGTGCAGCCATACTCTAGATGGCTGTGCCAAATCTTAGGAGCCAAAATATTTCTTGCAAGGAGCCCAAGGACCAGCCCAGAAGACGCAGGACCTCGATGAGGCTGCAACTGCCACCAGGATTATTTTGAAAGTTTTATTAGACAAAATTAAGGCTCTAGAGACCCAATGTGCCCTTCAGCTGGCCCGAGCCTGCTGGCATTACTTTCTGAAGGTCACTTAGGATCATGTTAAAGGCTAATTCCTCAGGCAGGCATGTTGTGCACAGAAAACTGTAAACAGCAGGGTCAGCCACGAGGACACAAAATAGCTGAATTCCTGCATCAGGTCCAGGGGCACCTTATTATCTCAGTTAACCAAGTGAGCCCTTTCTGAAGCTCCCATGGTCTCTAGCTGTGCCAGGGGGTGAAAACTCTGAGTTTGGGGAGTTCTGGGTGTTCTTTGATGATCTGTTCTATTCTGTTAGACTCTTCCTAATGGGGACCTCAGCACCACCATTTGCTCCAAGCCCACTTCCCGAGGCCCCTTTGCTTCTAAGAGCAGCTGGCCTTAATGCCTCTCGCCTTTTCTGAATCTCAGGCTTACGCTATGGAAACGTGCAGGTGTGTGTGGCATGGCAACATTTCCACTGCTTCTGACTGCTTTCCTGTTTGCTTTGGCCCACGAAATGCACATGGTTCTTTCTTGTTTTTCAAGTTTATCAAACATTATGGAGTGCTTCCTCTGGGCTAAGTGTGAGGCTCCACCATCTATGCTCAGGAAGTGTGGTCTCTAAGCAGGAAGCCAAGGCACATTCCATGGCTCCCTGGGATGCCGAAAGCTCGGGCTACACAGCTACCACATGATCACAGGAGGGAGGTCATGGCGGTGAGGTCAGGGCAGGGTTCTGGGAGGAGGGACGACTGATCTGGGCCCTGTCTCAGATCCTGAAGTCCATTAGTGACAGGCCATTACATTCAACATCAGCACTGGTTCCAGAAAACGCAGAACTGGATGCTGCCTGCAGACACAGTCTCCATGTAGAACCGGAGCCAAGGTTCTGAGAGCCACAGGAATTCGAGCATCTCTGGGGAGCAGTTCTCAACACTGTTCCCAGCTTGTTTGCTGGTATCCAGACGGTGCATGATTGAGGCCACTTGGGAAAAGAATTTCTTCTAGAAATATTGAAGAATGCCTTGGACATAGTATTATGTAACTTGTTTTCCTTGAACATTCTACCAGGCTGCGTGTCTTTCAAGAGCAGGGAGGATGTCTTATTTAACTGGACTGGCATGCGGTAGGTTCTGACCAACTGACTGAGGAGTGAAGTCAGAGGAAAACCAAATTTAAACTCCCTAGAAGGACCAACATCTTGTGACTGGAAATACAAAGGAACTAACACTATCTAGATTTTTTTCTTTTTTTTCTCGTGCCTTCTGCTTTTTTTTTTAATTTATTAGTTTTTACTTTTTATTTTTGAGGGAAGAAGGAAGGAAGGAAGGAAGGAAGGAAGGAAGGAAGGAAGGAAGGAAGGAAGGAAGGGTGCCTTCTGCTCTTCCTATTTGCACCTCTACCTGGTTCCTAGCCTCCAAGCTCGGGTGGCCACCTTGGCCCTGTAGATAGAAGGAAGAACACCTGTTGACAGTCTTGTGGCCCTGTACCAGGGAAGGTACGAAATGGCTTGACAAAGATTGAATAGGCAGCAACGGCACGTCTTCAGACCCCAGACATGACGCCTGTACACATTGGTCACGCTGCTGAAGGAGGCAGGACTCTATGCCCTTCCACATGGGCTGTTCATGCTCATTGACACCACTGTCCTGCTTTGGCACCTGGCCTGAGGTGTGCATGGCTGGCAGCTTGAGAAACCCGGAAGCCAGAGTCTGAGCCACCCCATCATTCTCTAGAAAGAGGAACAACTGGAGATACTGGTTTCCCAAAGTGACCCCACCTTTTGTGGTAAACGGGAGTGACTTCCCATGGGTGACTCACTCAGAGAGGCTACCATTAGGTACTCAGGAGTCTTTTTCTCCTTTTATGGCAGTTTGCAGACAGTGGAGAGAAGCCTCCGGGAGCCTCGCTGGCTCTGGATCACGCGGGGGCTGACTGCTTTACCATGTTCTCACATGCCAGGGTGTTCCGCTGTGTCCACCTCCACCTTTAAGCAGCAGCTCATGTCCGCTTGACCTCCTCTGGAACAGGTCACTGTGTAAGCCTTTTAGACAGATGGAGATTCCACAATTGCCCCCAAATAGGCCAGCACCCCCTCTCCACCCCACCTCCTCCTCACTCCTGGGCATCAGGTCTCAGCTCTCCGGAGAAGGAGGTCACTGGGGTTCCCTCAGCTCCAAGTCAGTGCCCCAGAGCCTGAGCAAACAGTACTTGCCTTCTGCAGAGTATCCTTGAGAGGCGAGTCCCCTGCCTGCCTAGGCTGCCCAGGCTGGGAAGCCTGGAATGCCCTCAGGTTTCAGTGGGAGAAAGGAGAGACACTTCATTTATAGCCTCTGAGTTCTATCAGGACACAATGACTCACAGCTTTGCATGCGGACATGCCATTAAAAGCAGTTACAACTATTCTTTTTCTTTTTTTGCTATCTCATGCCCTTGTGGAAGTGGGCAAGTGGAAGTTTGAGTTTTCAAAGGCTTCAGCTTCGTGCCTTGGCATATTTTGCGGTGGAAAGTGCTTAGGGACTCCCAGGAGGTGAGAGTGAAGCTGGGCAGCGGGGTCAAAGCAGGTAAACCCGAGGCTCTCAGCCGGGCTCTGCCTCGCTGGCCCACTATGCCTACCTCCAGGAGTGAGCAAGAACATGTGATGGAAAGCAGCCGCGGCAGCAATAAGAAGAAGAATAGTGATGGCAGCAATGGCACCACTGACATTGATGCAGCACTTACAATGCACCAGCTACTGTACCAAGTCCTTACTGACACACGCTATCCCAGTCACTTTCTCAATAACCCTGCAAATGAGGCCCTTTAGGTATCCCCATTTCACAGGAGAAGAAATGGAAGCCGGACTTGTTAAGTAGATTTTTTTCTGAAGTTGCTGCTGCTAAGTAGAAAACCTGGGATCCCCACCATCAACTCCAAGCCTATGCTCCTTGTTAGCTTATTCTGGGTCAGATGGCCTGGGCTCAACTCCATTGTTGAACTGTGTGATCTTGGATAGGTGACTTAATCTTATCATCTGTAAAATGGAGATAATGACCTTTACCTAACATAGGTGTGATCAGGGTGATCTGAGGCAATCCATGTAAATGCTTAAAACAATAATCAGCATAGCACAATGTATATGCTTCCCATATTTTAGCCAATTTGTGCTGCATTCAGTCTCAGGAGGTGCTGGCGCACAGACGACCCTTTGTACCTCCATTTAGGGTGCTCTGGGCTGACTTCTGAGAGCAGCTTCTGAGGTCAGACTGCTTTCCATGGAAGGGAGTGTAATGTTGTTGTTCCTGGGACCATCTGTGAGCACCGGACTCCTGCCTGCTTAACGCTGTCTTTCCTTTCCTTAGGCTGAGCTGCGGAGCACCCAGTTAGACCTGGAGCGGAAACTCAAGTTGAATGAAAATGCCATTGCCAGGCTTCAAGACAATCATAAATCTGTTTTGGTAAGGCTGGTCTGGGTCCCTGTCAGGCGTCAGCACACACCTGGGTGCAGCTGCAGGCTCAGCGAGGCCCATCAGGGTTGTAGGACACGGGTCTGCAGGCCCAGCCTCATTCTGTGGGCTTCTTGGAGTCTTTCACTGAATGAGAATTATTGGTACAGATACAGTCAGCTACACCACTGGGTGGCCTAACCTTGCTGTCAGGATTTGCTAGGAAATTAGTTTAAGGCTCAAAATTGGCAATTGAGTTACTTTTTCATAATATAGAGTAGAATCAAGACTAGTCATAATAATAGCATTTTTATTTTTACATTTGCATATGTTTTCTTGACCAGGAGAAAAGGGTGCTGGGGGAGAGTGTCGGGAGTGTTTAGATAGAGCTTCAGGAAGTGTACGTGATCTTGGATTCTTCACCTGCATATATCACTAGTCCTAGTCCTGGCAGCCAGAAAAGAGTGTTGAAAACCGCTGGATTAGTGGATGATGCTTGTTAAGGTCAATGGTGTGAGGCTACTAAATTTTCGTCTCTCTGGTTTTATAAACACTTTCCATATAAACTCTATGTAGACCCAAACAGTCCCACAAATGCTTCTCATTAGTGGCAAACCAAACCACCACTCAGAAGAGAATGAAATACACCTACCCTATGGCAGTGCATCAGCAGCAGCATCTGTACATACCAAGAATGATTCTGTTCCATCCATCCACTCATCCATCCATCCATCCATCAACTCATCCATCCATCCACCCACCCACCCACACACCCATATGTAATGCATGTATTCATTTCATCTTAATGTCCTCCTCCTTAGTGTTTATAACTTGCTAGCTACTGAAGGGTAAATACCTCTTTCTTACTCACATAATTTTATGAAAAGAAGAAAAACAATTGCCCATTTAAAAGCTTTGCAGACCATCAGAGATTGTTGATTTCCAGGCTCAACATAATCTGGAGAACCACACAGCACCTTGACTTTCCCAGTTCTTTCATTTTCAGATACTTAGATCCCGATGCAGCTCTTTTTATAACCACATGGTAACCAGGAGAGAGAGAGTTACCACAATTCCACCATGTACAAGGGGCATGAAGACAGAGAGAAGACAAGACTTATCTGGGGTCCCCAGATTGAGGGAAGAGGTGAACCTGGGACTGTTGCTCCCTTGACCTAAGAGTGACTCAGTACATTGACAGGCCTCTGCACCACCCTCTCTAAACCATTACCTTTGGTACTTTGATATGTTTGTGGCTCCTCCTTTCCACAGCCTTTATTTGTCATTGTTTGGACAGTAAATTATATCCTTCATACATTACATTTACATGCAAGGAAGAAGTACTTCTCCAGAGGAAGGTTTAGGAGTGAGAGGCTGCACATAAAAGAGAAAGAGTAATTCCACCAGCATCGTTGGAGGTCTCCTGTCTACCACTCTTCTTCAGGAGGGGCCTCAGTGGAGGAGGGGGGATTTGGACCCTGAAGTTTGTCTTTAGTCTTATGCCTCTGAGCTTCATGGTGTCATGCTTCTATAATGTCATCATTATAGAGAGTAAATGGATTCCTCTCCTTTCCCACAACACCCCAGACCAAACCAACATTGTCTTACAAACATTGTTGCCAAGCTAACAGGAAAGCAGACACCCTGGCCACAAAGACTGAAGATCATGGACTCTCTGCAGGTAGATTCAGAAACCAGCTCTGTGTAGCTAAAGAGTGACTCAGCTTGTTAGCACCAATAGAAATTTCTTTTCATATTTTTCTATTCGTGTGAGTATTCCCTTCCTTTTCTCATAAAAATCCCTTGCTCTCATCCTGTAATTGGGACATCATTTGGGATTCTGCCTGAATCTGTGCTCCCTGAGCTACAATTATTTTTTATTCCAAATAAATGCTTGTTGTCTCTGAGGAAAGAGTGTAGATAGGGAATATATAAAATGAAGTCACTCTCACAAAGCTGCTAAAATTATTAACATTATGAAGGTTGAGGCACGAGGCCAGATTCTATTCTTGTCCTAAGTGTCCTCGGATTCTAAACTTTTTGGACTTTCCAGTCCTGTGTCAATGCCTGAATATACATCTGGGCACACACCAAACCTCCCGTAACCCTCTGATGACCCCCTGAAGGACTCACACATCCAGGCCACCTGACATCCATGTGATATCCATTATACAGACCACTGGCTATGACCAGATTTCCTGGGACCCATCCTCTAGACTGTCTGGCATCCACCATCCAGACTGCCTAACATCTGATTGACAACCTTTCTAGACCAATCTAGGGCTAAGAGTGTAGGACTCATTATTTGCAAGAATGCAATATTTTTACTATATTTTAAGAACTCTTAACTATGGTAGAAAAGAACGTTTTACTCTAAGAACTGTCAGCACCAGTAAGTACTTAAGAACTACTGAAGAGAAGAAGAAACCATTTACAACTTGGATTAATATTGTCACTATGACACTGACTGAAGGCATTTGTAAAGGACTTCACCCTGTGAAAGGACAGAGTCCACGTGCCAAGGGTCATCGTGATGGTTATCACACTGAGTTTGTTTTATGTTTTATTTGAATGCAGCACTCCGCCCTGCCCAGGTATGCTCACCCTGCAATGGATGGTGCTGTAGACACCAGCACACACCCTAAATGTTTTGTGCCCGATGGGGTGCCATACACTGAGATGTGCTTTTGGCTCTGATGGCCTCACTGGGCAATTTAATCAGACATAATAAAATGCTAAGGAAGCTAATTCATACTACAGATTTGTACAAAGAAGCCAAGTTATAGTTATAAGTATAACTATAAAGTACACTGAATACTTGAATTGCTCTGGTAGAAAAATTGGTTTCAGAAACCTTGAATAGCAGCCCGACTGTCAGGGCCAGAAGGCATCTCAGACCTCTGTAGTTCCTTGTCCTGTCCAGGGGAGGAGAGACTAAGTTAAAGGATGGGTAAACAAGCACTTACATGCTGGGGAATAAATCCTTTCTTCCAGGAACCCAGGATTCATATGAGAATAAAAACTTTCTTTTATAATAGAAAATTGCTCCTTCATTTACAGGTTTAGCAATGTACCGACACATTAAGGCACATGCCATTAGAGCTAGACTGAGTGCATGTACTATTGCAGGGAAGGAGCATTAGGTCGGGCATAGATTCTGTCATCCTGGACATGTAAATAGCTGTGTAGTTTTTGGCAAGTCACTTAACTTTTCTGGGTTGAGCTTGGATAAAGTTGGATGCCTTGCTAACAGGTTCTTTGCTGTTTCACCCCTCGCCTCATCCCCGGCCAGGTGTCAGTGTCGGAGGTGAAGATGGTGGCTGAAGAGCAGTTTGGGGAACTCCTTGCGGCCATGAGGAAGGCCCAGGCTGATGTGATGCTCTTCTTGGAGGAGAAGGAGCAAGCTGCTCTGAGCCAGGCCAGTGGCATCAAGACACACCTGGAGCACCGGAGTGCGGAGATGGAGAAGAGCAAGCAGGAGCTGGGGAGGATCGCTGCCATCAGCAACACTGTCCTGTTCCTGGAGGTACAGCTGGGGTGCGGGCGGAGGTGTGCGTGCAGCTAACACCAGGGAACTAACTGGCAGATGTGGGAATGAAACGGCTCTTTGGTAAGCCGGGTGCATAGGGAGCCAGGGGCACAGAGAGAAGCGGGTCTTGATTCAGGAAGGGTGGGGAAGACTTCCCGGAGCGGGGAGCTGACAAGGTCATGGCAGAGGAGTACTGCTCAAAGAGAAGTATGTTTCAGGAGAGGTTGGAGAACGCGCAGCTGCTTTAGAGAATTAGATGCTTTCACAAATGATGGGAGATGAGGTGGCCAGGCCTGGCAGATATCTGGCTATGAGAGAAGCTTGCTCTTCATCAGGAAGTCGCAGAAGCTGGTGGAGGACTTCAGATGGGAGACTGGCGAGATGGGATCAGTGTGCTTTAGAAACCACTCTGACAGCAGTGAGGAGGCCTGGCAGGGGTGAGACTGGAGACTGGTTACACGTGCTGGGGTGATTGAGGAAGGCCCAGCAGAGGAGATGAGACTTTCATTACACTGTACCAACACATCAAGGCACACCATTAGATGCAGCCACTATGGAAAACAATATGGTGTTACCTCAAAAAATTAAAAACTGAACTTCCAGTTGACCCAGTGATCCCACTTCTAGGAATATACCCTAAGAGGCCTGAAACACCAATCAGAAAGAATGTATGTACCCCCATGTTCGTAGCAGCACTATTTACAATAGCTAAGATCTGGAAACAGCCCAAGTGTCCATCAGTAGACGAATGGATAAAAAAGCTGTGGTACATATACACAGTGGAGTACTATGCAGCTGTAAGAAAGAAAGATCTCTTATCCTTTGAGACAACATGGAGGGACCTGGAAAGTATTATCATAAGTGAAACAAGCCAAACAGAAAGGCAAGTATCATATGATCTCACTTATGTGTGGAATATAATGAACATAACAGTCTGAGCAATGGGGTAGTCCCAGAGACATGGAAGTGGGGTACAAACTGACAATCCCCAGAAAAGGGGGTGGTGGGGGAGAGATAAACCACAGAACTTATATGCATGTATGCATGAACAATGGCCATGGACAACAAAGCTGGGAGAGGGTGGGGAGGGGAGTGGGGGGAATCAGTGGGTGAAAAGAAACATCTGTAACAAAAATAAATAAATTAATTATTTTTTAAAAAAGGCACACTAGTAGAGCTAGACTGAGCCCGTGTACTACTGCGGGGAAGGAGCGCTAGGCTGGGCGTAAATTCTATCATCTTGGAGCTGTCACTAAATAGCTGTGTAGTTTTTGGCAAGTCACTTAACTTCTCTGGGTTTCAAATTCCTCATTTATCAAACAATCAGATCAGAGTAAATAATTAGTTCCTTCAGATCTAATATTCCTGAATACAGATAATTTTTCTCAATTGAATTTTTGAAAAAAATTCCCCTCTAGTTACAAAAACATAAATGTTTTTTGTGGGGAAAAAAACAGAAAAATATGAAGGAAGATAATCACCCATACTCCCACCACCCAGGCAACCATAGTTAGCCTTGTAATGAGTAAGAGAAAGAGAAGTAAAGACAAACATACTGATGAAATGTCTTTTAGTTAGTCCCTTGCTTTTGAATATCAAACCACGAAGAAAATATGAATAAAAAATGGACTTTTGCCCTCTCCGGTTTTGCTCAATGGTTAGAGCATTGGCCTGCTGTCCAGAGAGACCCGGGTTTGGTTCCCGCTAAGGGCACGTATCTGAGTTGCAGTTTGTCCCCGGCCCTGGTTGGGTTGTGCGGGTGGCAGCCACTCGATGTGTCCCTTTCACGTCGATGTTTCTCTACCTCTCTCTCCCTCCCACTCTATCTGAACAACAACAACAACAATAGACTTTCTATGTCAAGAGTTTCCCCCAAAAGCATATAATTTCTCTTTATTTTCCTTTTATAGTTTTACCATAAAAACTTCAATATGCACAAAATATATTTTAGTATACTATTACTTATTTATTTTGGTTAAATATAACTTCCTTGTCCCCACATTGTTAGCCCGCTGAAATGACAGCATGTATTGGATAACCTATCCTTTCTCCTCACTGGTTTAAAATGCTTCTATCATGTACAGTTCAACATCTGTACACACTTTTTAAATGTTTATCTATTTTCCTATCAACTCTCTGGTTTGGCTTTTCTTTAATCCTCCACTGACGGTCTTACAGTTTTGGTACAGCTGTTTCATCACTAAGTTTTTTTGTTTTTTTTTTTATCCTCACTCAAGGATATTTTTCCATTTTTTGTTCAGATAGAGTGGGAGGGAGGGAGAGAGAGAGAGAGAGAGAGAGTGAAACATCGGCATGAAAGGGACACATCGAGTGGCTGCAGTCCCCACGACCAATCAGGGCTGGGGACAAACTGCAACCAAAGTACGTGCCCTTAGCAGGAACCAACTCCAGACTGCAGGCCGATGCTCTAACCGCTGAGCCAAACCAGCCAGGGCTGTTTCATCACTAAGTTTTATGCTATACCCTGTCTGCTGTTCAACACTTCAGTTGTATTGGCATTTTGATAACGTGTTACGTCTGAAAACAACCTTTCCTGATCATCACATTGTTTTGAAGCATAAGTAGATTAATGTGATTATCTCCATGGAAACACTTGCAAACTCTGAATCACAGTACAAAAATTGGAGAAAATTGTGTTTGGATCGAACCGGCAAGGAAAAGGCATCCAGCGTTGCTGTCTGAGGTTTTATTTGTACGTCTTCTGAGTGCCACACTGGGCCCCCATCCCCAATTGTGGCTTGTGTTTAAATTATTATTTTTTTTAAAGTCCTGAGAGCTTGAGCATAGCAGGAATGTTACTTCCATTTGGGCTGTTGGCAGAAAATGTGTTTTTGAATTTGTGGTTTCTGTTCTGGGCTGTGCATTGGAGTTGCTCATGGGCATCTAGTATCTCTTGATTTTTTAAAAAATATTTTTTCTTTATTGATTCTATAGAGAGAAGAAGGGAGCAGGAGAGAGAGATAGAAACATCGATGAGAGAGAACATTGGCTGCCTCCTGCACGTCCCTCAGTGGGGATTGGGCCCACAACCTGGGCATGTGTTCTGACCTGGAATCGAACCAGTGACCTCCTGGTGTATGGGTCGATGCTCAACCACTGAGCCACACTGGCCGGGCTAGTATCTCTTGATTTTTAAAAACCCACTTTCCCAGTTTAAAAAATAAGCGGTTTCTATGTCGTTAGCTCCTGAGCTGGACACATTGCATACTTCCTTTGTGAACTACACATTAACACCAACCCGTTTTACAGAGGCAGAGAGTGACGTAATGAGGAGAGCAGCCCCATTTAAGAGATACAGAAACCAGGGCAAGTTTTTCCATGCTTCTTTTCCTGCAGGAGTACTGCAAGTTCAAGAACACGGAGGACGGTGCCTTCCCCAGCGTTTACATAGGACTCAAGGACAAACTCTCGGGCATTCGTAAGGTCATCACAGACTCCACTGCACATCTAGTCCAGCTGCTGCACAACTATAAGGAAAAGCTCCAGGAGTTCGCGAAGGAAGGTGAGGCACCGTCTGTGGGCTGTGTGATGTCTCTCATTGTGGTTGATGGGCAAGGTGAGAGAGAACCAGCGGGGGAGGGGGAAATCAGGGGCACGTTTCATTTTCAAAGCGTTCCTCCGGCTAGACTGTGTTACTGATGGACACATCTTGATTTCATTTTACAACTGAGACCCAGGTAAGGTGAGTTAGTCCTATCATGCAATTGGATATCATTTTTATGTTCAGCTTCTCAGATTGCTCATGCTATACTTTTAAGTGAAATCCAAGTCATGCCGGGATCTTTATCAGCCTGTTTTGCTTCATCCGAGAGAGAAATGTGGTCCATTGAGCATGGTTCTCTGAGATGTGACGAGGCTCCCCCATCTTGCTCCAGGAAGCCTGGGGAAGGGTTACTGGGAAGACCTGCTTCTTCAGTTCTCCCGCCCCCGGGACAGGCGTGCATTCACCACTCTCTGATTTTCTAGAGGAGTATGACATCAGAACTCAAGTGTCAGCTGTTGTTCAGCGCAAGTATCGAACCGCAAAACCTGAACCCAGCACCAGGCAACAGTTCCTCCAATGTAAGTTGTGAGCGACTCTCCCTCCTTTAGTTATTGATGTCAGTACAATGCTTTGCTGAAGCAAGAATACCGTCTCGTGCACTGGCCTGTTTAGCTCAGCAGTTTGCATTGGCCTGCGGTCCAGAGAGACCCGGGTTCGGTTCCCGCTAAGGGCACGTACCTCAGTTGCAGTTTGTCCCCGGCCCTGGTTGGTCATGCGGTGGCAGCCACTCGATGTGTCCCTTTCACCTCTCTCTCTCTCTCTCTCTCTCTCTCTCTCTCTCTCTCTCTTTCTCTCTCTCCCTCCCACTCTACCTGAACAAAAAAATGGAAAAATGTCCTCGGGTGAGGATTAAAAAAAAAAAAGAAGAATACCGTCTCTTTCATAGGTTTCAGGTTCTTGCAATCTTCAGTCTATCCCTAATTGGTACATTTAAAACTTTTAATTAAAAATGTTTTTAACTTTCATTTGGAAACAGTTTCAAACTTACAAAACCACTGTAAATATAGAAAAAGGACTTCTTAAATAATTTTCATCCAGCTTCTTCAAGTGTTAACATTTTACATAACTACAGCACAGTGACCAAAATCAGGAAATAAATGTTGCTGCTGCAATGCTATTAACTAATCTATAAAATTTATTCCGGTTTCACCAAGTTTTCCAACCAATGTCCCTTTTTTGGCCTAAAGGCTGATCCAAGATCACAGCTATTTCCATGTCTTCTCAGTTTTCCCCAGTCTGGGTCTGATCCCTTAGTCTTTCTTTGTCTTTCATGACCTTGGACTTTTGTAGAGCCAGGCTAGTTACCAAATGGTTCCCTGTTAAGTCTGGCTCGGCCAGAATTGCATAACACATTCTCCTGTCACTATCTGGTATTGACCTGGTCCGTCAGCATTATTAAAACACTATTTCTAACCAATACTTCATTATGGTTAACAAGCCAGTGAAGTTTCATCTCCTAGTAAAGCAAGGACTGCCTCTGCATGTTAAGGCTCATTTTTGTGATATTTGGCTAATTCATCTTTTGGAACATGCCACTGAACTCTGCTTCTAATTGTTTCTGGGGGTGTCCACGGGTGACCAAGGCCTGGACCCCTTTCTCTCTGGTTATTACATGCAGCTTCAGGTTCTGCTGCCCGGCTCCTATTCCTGCCATAGCTCCCACTTTCCCCAGGACCTCTTGGCTTCCATAGTTTCCCTTATTTATTCTTCCCTTCTTCCTGACAGAAAAACATCTATATTTCACAAACAGATATAATTAATATAAGAAGCCAAATACCCTTCATTCTTGACATCAAAATAAAAATGACACATATCCTATTATAATCTATTTTCTTTTGCATGACAACTATCTTCTGTACATCAAATAGTAACTGTTTCTCTTTGAGTATTGGTATGAACCTCGAACCTTTTATAGACTCACACTGTTCCACTTTTCAAAGTTCTGGGGCTCAAACTGCCAACCTGACCAGTTGGAGCCACTTGTGTGCCGGCCCCCTTCTCCCTTAAACATTGACATTCTGCCCTTGACGTTTTTAAAGCATCACTGCTTTCTGCAACGAACAGCATTCCAGACCCATTCTTGTTTTCATGTCCCAAACCATAGAATCACCTACCCTCCTGGGAGCCCTTCATCCCCTTAAGTGAGAGGAATATTGTTCAGTATCTGGATGCCAAGGGTTGCAGAGGAGTTGGTGGTGGGCAAAAGCTGTGCTGTGAATACCGCTGGTACCACTTTCAGTAACAGCTGCAGACTATATGCTGTTGATGGTCCTAGTTTACACTCATTTTTCCTTTTAATTTGTTCTGCGGTGTCCTTCCTTTCTTCCAGGATGTGGTCTTACTGACTACTAAGAATTTCTCTTATAGAGGAATTTGGAAAGCTCTGGGTTAAACTAAGATAACTTTGTAAATAAATGGACTTTAAAATAGCCTTTAATATGCTCATTCACTTGGCAAGTATACACTGTGCATCTTCTCTGAGCTATAAGCACAGGAAGGAGGCCCACATAACACGTGCATCTTACAGACGAGGAGGACAAGCATGAAACAAACACAGATTATCACGCATTGTGATGAGTAGCACAAAGTTTAAAGAGCCAGGGTGCTCTGAGAATCAGTGATGGGAGTGACTCAGATGAGGGAGTCACAGGGAGCCTCTCTGAGGACAAGCACACTCAGCCGAAACCTGGACGGATCAGTGGGAATCACCAGATTCAGGTTGGAGTGGCGATGACATCACAGAGGGAATGGTCTGTGCTAAGCCCTGAAGTGGAGTTCAGTGTCTGGTGGCTCCAAGGTCAGGGAGCTGGAGAGTGCAGGAGACAAGCCTTGAAACACAGGCAAGAACCAGTCATGCAGGGCCAGGTAGGCCAGGGTGAGCGATCACTGCTTTATCCTAAGAGCAAGGGACACCATCAAAGGGCTGTAAGCTGGGTAACATGATTTGCCTTAACCTACATTCTGAAACAAGCACTGTGGCTCCATCATGGCGAAGGTATAAGGGGGTGGGCGGGAGCACGGGAGCAACATGACCAACAAGGAGCCTATTGCCTAGTCTGGGGAGATTTGTGATGCCTTAGATTGGGGGAGAAGCAGTGTACTGGAGAGAAGTGGGTGGGCTGTACAGGGCTTGCTGCTCCCTGTGTGTGGGGGGAGGGGCAAGGTGGGGGTGGGGATGAAGGCAAAAGAAATGTTGAAAATAACTTGAGTGAGATTTGAGAAACTGGGTGCATGAAGGCGCTATCAGTTTTAGGGTCTGGCAAGAGAACCAAAACCTGACCAGTTTGGCTCAGTGGTTAGAGTGTCGGCCCTCAGACCAATGAGTCTCAGGTTTAAATCTAGTCAAGGGCACGAACCTCAGTTGTGGTTTGGTCTCTGGCCCCAGGGGTCATGCAGGAGGCAACCAATAGATATGTCTCTCTCACATCAATGTTTCTCTCTCTCTCTCTCTCTCTGTCTCTCTGTCTCTCTCTCTCTCTCTCTCTTCCCCTATCTCCCTCCCTCCCTCCCTCCCTCTCTATCTGAAGATACATGGGAAAATATCCTCAGGTGAGGATTTAAAAAAATGCAGGGGAGGGGTCTGGGACCACTTATGACATGTGTGTGTGGGTTTCCCCAACAAGCAATTCTCCATGATACCAGCTGGGTGTCCAATATTTTAGCTCAATTCTGAGACTACCTACCAGGAGATGGAGTCAGATCCCGAGAGTTAAGGGCTGAGTCCAAGCAGACTGCTCCCCCGCCAACTTCAGATGCCAATCACAAGTAGTAGGTCCCCAGGTGACCCACAACTCTGTCCAACCCTGTCCAATCCGGCTACAAATTGGAAGTTCCCTTGACCCTGTCCTTGGTTGGATTAGTTTGTTAGAGCAGCTCACAGATTTCAGGGAAACACTTACGTTTACCAGTTTATTAAAGGATGTGATAACATGAACAGCTAGATGAGATATGCACTGGGCGAGGTCTGGGAGGGTCCTGAGCTCAGCAGCTTCTGTCCCTGTGGACTTGGGTACGTCACCTCCCAGGGTGGAAGTATTCACCCACCTGGAAGTTCTTAGAATGTCCTACTAATGGGATTTTATGGAGCTTCTTCACATAAGTATGGTCAACTATTAACCCCATTTCCTGCCCCTCTCCCTTCTCCGTAGAAGTGTTTGGGGGGGGGGCCTGAAAATTCCAGGCTTGTTCTCTCTGGTGACCAGTCCCCATCTGAGAACTGTCCATCCGGGAGCGCACCCATAGTTGCCTCATTGGAACAAAGGACCTTTCTATTACCCAGGAAATTACAAGGTTTTCAGGAGCTCTGTGCTAGGAAGGGCGGAGGGGCAGGGACCAAGTACGCATTTCCTATTATATATCACAATATCACATTGTGTTCTGGTTTCTGGTTTTCAACCACCTTTCTTCCAAGTGAAACAGTGGCCTGGGTAAACAGAGAACAGAGAGATGGAGATATTCTCCTACTTTGAAAGCTGGTCATGTTTGAAATGTTCTGTTGGGTTTCTGACCGACTCTCCCTGACTTCTGTATCTCCTCCTCAGATGCATGTGACATCACATTTGACCCTGACACGGCGCACAGGTATCTCCGGCTGCAGGAGGACAATCGCAAAGTCACCAACACGACGCCCTGGGAGCATCCCTACCCGGACCTCCCCAGCAGGTTTCTGCACTGGCGGCAGGTGCTGTCCCAACAGAGCCTGTACCTGCACAGGTACTATTTTGAGGTGGAGATCTCTGGGGCAGGCACCTATGTTGGCCTGACCTGCAAAGGCATCGACCGGAAAGGGGAGGGGCGAAACAGTTGCATCTCTGGCAACAACTTCTCCTGGAGCCTGCACTGGAACGGAAAGGAGTTCACAGCCTGGCACAGCGACACGGAGACCCCGCTCAAAGCCAGCCCTTTCCGGAGGTTGGGGATCTATGTCAACTTCCCAGGAGGGAGCCTCTCCTTCTACGGTGTGGAGCCGGACGCCATGACGCTGGTTCACAAGTTTGACTGCAAGTTTTCAGAGCCAGTGTACCCAGCCTTCTGGCTTTCCAAGAAGGAAAACACCATCCGGATTGTGGATCTGGGAGAGGAGCCGGAGAAGCCAGCGTCCAGCTCCGCAGGGGCTGCTCTGTAGACTCCAGGTCCACACTCCAAACGTGTGCTAACCACAGGGCAGCAACTGGCCTTCGGAGAGCGGCCTGGGGACAGAAATCTCTGCCAGTGGTCGCTGGCTTTAGAAAGCATGTGGTCTGTGGATGACAAGAGTCTCTGGCTTCTGCTTTTGCTCCATGCTGTGCTGTTCTTTGTGTTTGTAGTCATGTTCAGGTGAAAGTCCCCTGTGAGTGACACTTGAATCTTCCATCTGTCTACTCAGGTGATCAGCACAGTATGCTCAGAACTATTAACCCAGAATCTTCAGAGAGATAAAAAAGATCACAGTGTAATCGCAATAAACTGCTAACTTTATTACCCATTTCCCATGTTCCGCTGTTTTGAGTGCTTCCAGTACATCAACCCAGCGACCCCCATGGCACTCATCGTAGCCCCAATTTGGGGAAACTGTGGTGCAGGGGTGATAGTTAACTCGCTCAGTGTCACTGTGGTCACATGGTGAGTGACAGAACTGGGGTTCAAACTTGGAGAGCTGATATTAAACCTTTAACCACTATACCATTCTGCTTTCCTCATTAGATCATGGGGGTTGTGTTTAAGGGAATAAACCACATGATGAACTGCACACATGGAGACAGAGTTTACAAATCTCTTTGCAGCCCCCACATCCGATGGGGCTATGCAGCTGTGCAGCAGAAAGCTCACTCAGCCATGTTGGGGACAGCAAGGATCATAAGAAATGTGTTAGTGGAGTCCAAGGCTTAGACCCCATGACCTCTGGGGGAGGCCTCATTCCTCTCTTCTGAAGTCACCTGGAGTATGTGGACTTGTCTGCTTTCTCATTCCAAAGACAGTTCTTCAAGCATTTAAGGGTGATTCTCACAACACATCCTCCCGGAAAGCTTTCCACACTACATTTCTCATTTGTCTTGCTTTCACACTTTATTTCTCATTTTCCTTCATGGTTTCCAGACCTCTCCCCCCCACCCCCCCCAATCATTTCATCCTCCTTCCACAGATGTGCTCCATAAGATATTTGGTGAACATTCATCAAGACTTTAGGAATGACAAGTTGACAAATTGTCTTTAAATGACTTTCTGAGAACATAACCTGAAGCCCCTGTAGGAAATATCACTTCTGGTTCTGTGTCAGAGCAAATCTGTTTATCTAGGCCACTGTTCCCCCTGGAAAAGAGGTAGGTGAGAACCAGAAAGTAAAATGTGATATTACGATTTATAATAAGAAATACATACTTGGTGTCTGCCCCCCAGTTCCTGGCACAGAGCTCCTGAAACTCTTGTAATTTCCTGAGTGATAACAACACTAGGAACACCTCTTATTCTAATATTTGTCTTGCCTCTGACCAGTTCGATGTTTCTGTCTCAAGGGTACATTACTTCCGCAACACCTGTTTCCAGAGACCTTGCACTATTCTTGTATTCCAGGATATATATATAGCTTAGGATTTGACATGTTTATAGAATTTTAAAAATTTTAATTTTATTGAATTAATTTTTTTACTTGAATTGAAAATTTTATCACATTATTGATGCTTGCTGAGATGGTTTTGAGTCATGATTCTATTTCCAATATATTAGCTCTCCTTCTTAGTCTAGTCACCTACAGAATTGTTATCCTTTTCTTCTTAAGTCTTGATCTTGTTGATACATATATGGTTTAGGGTAGGGTCAAATACAGGATCCTGCAGCACTTGCTCAACACTTTTTGGGTTTAATTACTCAATAAGTATATCTTGGTAGAACTGGACAACAAGGTAGCCTATCTTTTGCCCCTTTAACCACTGGATCCAAAGAACACTTTTCAGTGGCAGAGATCAAGATAAGCTATGTTTGCATTTCCTTGTTGTTTGTGTCTAGCAATGCTCTCAAAAGAGAAAATGAGCCCTGGCTGGTGTCGCTCAGTGGTTAGAGTGTCAGCTCACACACAGAAGGTTGTGGGTTGGATTCCTGGTCAAGGACATGTACCTGGGTTGCAAGTTCGATCCCTGCCCTGCTCAGGGTCCTGTGGGAGGCAACCAATCCATGTGTCTCTCTCACATCAATGTTTGTCTCCCTCTCTCTCTCCCCGCCTCCACTCTCTATAAATCAATGGAAAAAATAACCTCAGGTGAGGAGTAATGAAAGAGAGAGTGAGAGAGAGAGAGAGGAGAGAAAATGAGACCAGCTTGGCCTGCTTTGTTTTTATTGAACTCCAGAGGTAGTGGTGCTTGTCACTTTCTTTCCTAAATGCTCACAAAATATTTAATGAACAATTTAAGAATTCTGCTGTGGGTTAACATCAAGTTTACTAGTCTATTGTTTCCAGAATCTTCCTTATTTTTCATTTTAAAAATCTAAACCATTTTCCTGTTCCCATCTTCTACCATTCTTCTTAATTTCTTAAAAAATAAAGACTGACATTTAATCACATCGATCAACTGTGTCTGTCATGAGATGTAATTTGTTTAGACCAGAATGTTTGGTTCACATAAAAGAACCCTTAGGATGTCTACTTACCTGTAGTGACCTTTGTTTCCCCGTCAGCTCTTTTTCTCTGTTTTCGGTTTCAAGAACTTTCTTCTTGATATAAAAGATCAAAGCAAAATTGAGAGTTAGGAATATTTGCTTTCTTTTTGTCATTGCCTCAACTGATAGGTATATTTTTACTCTTTTTCTTTGTCCACAAACTGAAAATGGCCTAAAACAAACAAACAAAAAAAATTTTTTTTTAAGAAAACAAAGGTTTATTTTATACTCTGTCATTTCCCCCCAGATGTGTGTATCACTTTTCTGTACTTACCCACCTTTATTTATTTTATTTTATTTATTTATTTATTTGTTTTGTTACACATGTTTCTCATTTTCCCCCATTGACACCCTCCTCCTCTTTCCCACCACCCCATCCCCAGCTTTGTTGTCTATGTTCATTGATCATGCATACATACATGTAAGTTCTGTGGTTTATCTCTTCTCCTCCCAAACCCCCTCCTCTGAGGCTTGTCAGTCTGTACCCCACCTCTTTGTCTCTGGGTTAATTTCCTTCAGCAGTTTGTTTAGTTCATTATATTCCACAAATAAGTGAGATCATGTGATATTTGTCTTTCTCTGCTTGCCTTGTTTTGCTTAGCATAATACTCTCCAGGTCCTTCCATGCCATCCCAAAGGATAAGAGATCTTTCTTTCTTACAGCTGCATAGTATTCCATTGTGTACATGTACCACAGCTTTCTAATCCACTCATCTACTGATGGACACTTGGGCTGTTTTCAGATCTTAGCTATTGTAAATAGTGCTGCTATGAACATAGGGCTACATATATTCTTTCTGTTTGGTGTTTCAGGCTTCTTAGGGTATATTCCTAGAAATGAGATCACTGGGTCAAATGGAAGTTCAATTTTTTAATTTTTTGAGGTAACACCATATTATTTTCCATAGTGGCTGCACCAGTCTGCATTCCCACCAGCAGTGTACTAGAGTCCCCTTTTCTCCACACCCTCGCCAACACTTGTTGTTTGATGATTTGTTGGTGGCGGCCATTCTGACAGGTGTGAGGTGATACCTCATTGTTGTTTTAATTTGCATCTCTCTGATGAATAGTGATGTTGAGCATTTCTTCATATGTCTCTTGGCCATTTGTATGTCCTGTTTGGAGAGGTGTCTATTCAGCTCCTCTGCCCATTTTTTAATTGGGTTCTTTGTCTTCCTTTTGTTGAGTTGTATGAGCACTCTATATATTTTGGAAATTAACCCCTTATTTGATGTATCATTGGCAATGATGTTCTCCCATACAGTGGGTTGACTTTCCATTTTGATGGTTGTTTCTTTTGCTGTGTAGAAACCTTTTAGTTTGATGTAGTCCCATGTGTTCATTTTCCCCTTTGTTTCTTTTGCCTTAGGTGATGTATCAATGAAAATTCTGCTGCGTATGATGTCTGAAATTTTGTTGCCTACATTTTCTTCTAAGATTTTTATGGATTCATGGGTCATATTTAAGTATTTTATCCATTTTGAGTTTATTTTTGTGTATGGTGTAAGTTGATGGTCTAGTTTGCATGTAGCTGTCCAATTTTCCCAACACCATTTATTAAAAAGGCTGTCTTTACTCCACTGTATCCTCTTGCCACCTTTATTAATTGAGTATATTGCCTTGGGTCCATTTCTGGGTTCTCTATTCTGTTCCACTGATCTATATGCCTGTTCTTGTGCCAGTACCAGGTGTTGTAACCCAGGAGAATCAACCTCGCTCGGACACAAAGTAATTTTGAATATTAGGAGATTTATTACCTGCACAGGGACTGGAGCCAACCTACATAGAGGAGAACTGCAGCACCACGTAGCAGCTTTTCAGACCTTTTATAATCGGGGTTAAACAAGTACTAATTAGCAAGTTTGTGACAGAGACGGATATAGGCAGTTAGCCAGGTGCAGCACATACATTCTTAACAGTTACAGTTTTATGGGGTGAAAGGAAGCTTCAGGTTTTTCTTATCAATTTGTTCACAGGACATGCAGGACATTCTGGCCCTAAGGCCATCATTGTCCTCCTTTTATCTGAGGGATGTTACTTTTCGAATTCCCAGTGGAGGTCAAATGCCGGTTAATTTCTCACGGGGCTAAAGCCGCCTATAACATTTCCCACTGGTCTTACGTACATATCAAATCTTTGATTCTTGTTGTTCATCTAATGGCAACCTTTGGTAATGAGAGGCTAGGACTAATAATTTGATAGATTGGACCCTCTGTCTTATGAAAACTATTAATTTGTTTATAATTAAAGGTCCACATGTCAGTCCTAGAAATAGGAGTATGAGGGGGCCTGCTAGAGCAGGAGAAGAGTAGTGAGCCAGGGGGACCAGTTATAGAGGTTTTCGCACCAGTTATTAGGGGCCTCTGCGTTTCTGGCCCGTTCTGCGAGGCGTTTTCTAAGAACCTGAATACTCTCTCTGATGAGTCCTGATCTATTAGCATAAAAACAGCAAGCTTCCCCTAGTGCTGCACATAAACCACCTGTTGGAGGAAGAGGAGGTTGAGTCCCCTACGGTTCTGGAGCACTACTTCAGCTAGGGAAAAGCCTTTTCTAGTTCTTCTACCTGGTCTTGGAGAAGCTGGACGTCCTTCGTGAATGGGGCAGAGAGCCGTTTAATGTCAGTCTGCCTGGTGCTGAGTGCTGCTGCGCTAGTTGCAGCAGAACCGACAATAGCAAATCCTGCTAAGAGGGGGATGAGAAGGGGGCTCCTCTCATGTAATCGAGAGTGTTCCTCAGGGGCCAGAAAATGTTCTGATCCTGAGGGTCCGGTATATAAGTAGACCTGTGGGATACATAGGTTAAAATGCAAATCTCGGGGGGGTCTAATGAAGGTGCTAGGCAGTGGGTGAGTCCAGAGGTACATGAAAACCAAGTCCCTTCAAGTGTTATTATGACCCAGGGTGGGTTGTCGTCATCGCCTCGGTTGAGGACATCGGAGTAGGACAGTGGTTTTGGTAGGATGAGGATCCGACAAGGTCCGGACTCGTGGTAACGCAGGTCCCAGGGCCCTGAAGGTCTCCGAGGGTGAGTCAAGGATGGGATCCGCAGATGGCCTGGGTTAGGTTCAGGTTGGCCTTTTCCTGGAGAGAGAGATTCCTGAGTTGATCTGAAGAGTCTCCAAAAGAAATGTTAGCAACAATCCCCACGTAATATGGGGGAGTGGGATCCAGACAAAGCCAACAGTCAGCTGTGGTATTTGGAGAGGTTTTGTTCACTAGGGAGAAAACTGAGTCTCAAGTCCTAAATATAGAGCTTTCAGGAGTCTCCGGTTTGGGTTTAGAGGCATCCTGATTTGAGGTGGGGACTGTGGGTTTTTGAAAGTTGAAGCTGAGAACTGGATTTGGGTCTATAGGTTTGGCAGAGAGCATCAGCTGCTTATAGATTTTCTGAATGGTGAAC